CCTTTGAACCACCTCTGCCCTCCCCACCAGCTCCATCCTTAGATGGAACTCAGTATAGCCTCCAATCTCACTCATGCCCAGTGTCCAGTATCCTCAGCTCTTCTCTGCTTGGTGGAGAAGGCCAGATATATTTCTGTCCAGCTCTGTCCCCGCTCAGAGGAAGTAACCTGTAACTGTAGTTGTTACTGTAGTGGTTGAATGGTGGCCTCCAGAGTTATGTCCATGTTCTAATCCCTGGAGTCTGGTGAATATGAACTTATTTGGAAAGAGGGACTTTGTAGATGAAACTAGGTTAAGAACTTTCAGATGGTTTTTCTGGGTATCTGTGTGGGTCCTAAATTCAATGATGAGTGTCCTTATAAGAGACACATAAAGGAGGGGGTGATGTAAAGATTCAGGCAGAGGCTGCATCTATCAGCCAAAGAATGCCAAGGAATGCCGGTAACCATTAGACACTTGAAGAAGCAGAAATAAAAAAAAAAAAAAGAAGCAGAAATAGATTCTTCCTCAGGAATAATGGCCCTACCAATACCTTGACTTTTTACTTCTGGCCTCAAGAGTTGTGAGGGAATAAACTTTATTGTTTTAAGCCACCAAGTTTGTGGTAATTTGTTATGGCAGCCTAGAAAATAAATATAGTAACCCATTCTAAATGGTGACTTCACAGAGGATTTTAAGGGCAGTGAAACTATTCCATATCATATTTTAATGATGGATAAATGTCACTGTACAGCTGTCAAAAAACCATAGGCTATACAACACCAAGAGTGAACCCTAATAAAAACTATGGGCTTTGAGTGATAATGATATGTTGATGAAGATTTGTTGATTATAACAAAGTACCACTTTGGTGGGGGATGTTGATAGTAGGGGAGGATGTGTGTATGTGGAAGTAGGGGATAAATAAGAACTCTCTGTACTTTTTGTACAGTTTTTTTTTGTTAATCCTCACCTGAAGATATTTTCCCATTGATTTTTAGAGAGAGTGGAAGGAATGGAGAGAGACACAGAGAGAGAAACATTAGTGTGAGAGAGATACATCGTTTGGTTGCTTCCCACATGAGCCCAGACCAGGGCTGGGAATTGAGTCTGCAACTGAGGTACCTGCCCTTGACCTGAGTTAAACCCGAGACCCTTCAGTCCACGGGTCCATGCTCTCTCCACTGAGCTAAATTGGCTAGGGCTTTTTTGCTCAATTTTGCTGTCGGCCTAAAACTGCTCTAAAAAAAAAGCCTACTAAGAAAAATGGCTGACTTGCCCCTTTCCCTTATCCTCTGAGAAAATGTGACTCTCTTTGCACTGATGGATACAGCCTGACCCACGTCATGCCCCCATGTGTCTCTTCACTGAGGTAAGAAGGCCTTTGTCCCCTGCACTGATTAGTTGTGACGAGGAGTGCAGCGGCCCCCTTCAGTCATGGGCAGGTCCTATGGGGGTATTCAGCTGTGAACTGCCAACACAATGTCCTGGTCAGCTGTGAGTGAGTGCTAGTTCCTGAAAGGGGGGTCTAGGTGTGAACCTGAGAATCCACCACACTGATCACACTCCAGTCTTAGAAACATACAGCCATTACTTTGTCTAGGTCTGCATCTGAGCTATCAGGTGTTGCCGTAGAAATTCAGGCAACTTGGCAGATTCAATTCACTTCCAACTCATGGTCTCAAACTTCCTGGAAGTTCTTAACATTGCCCACCAAGTCTATTCCCCCCGCCCCCCCGGATTATTTGCTCTCCTTTCTTTGGGATAACTAATTCATGCCTCCATTTTCCTCCTTAAATCTCCAAGCTCTTTTTCCTTCTTTTCTCTTCCACAAACAGGACATCAGGTAAACGTTAGTTAGTTGAGAAAACAGAAGGGCTTAGATGAAAATATCTCAATTGAGCACTATCAAATCTAGAAACCTACCTGCTCTGAAAGTACTTCTTTCTCCATCCCCAGGCCAGTCAGAAGGCCACGACCCCTGCTATCTGCTCAAGAATTTGACTCTATGTTCCTTCCCCCTCCTCTCCCACCATCAGTTTCTCTCTGCTAGATCATTTTTGTTAACTTACAAACAGGCAGTGGTCCATCTGATCCTCTTAAATCTTCCTTGACCCCTCCCACTCCAGTTAGACCCTATCATTCCGCTCCAGTTCCCAGCGAACATTCTCATCAGAATTGTCTGTGTATACCGCCTCCATTTGTTTAAGTGCTCAGCCCCTTCTAATCTGACTTCTACTCCCACCTTTGGAACTACTCTCTTCAAGGTCACCAATGGCCTCCACATTCCATTTCATTCCACTTCTCTCTGTAATTAAGACAGAGGATGACTCTTCTTCAGGAAAGCATCCTCTCTTCCGAATGTCACACTCCAGGTTTCTTCTGACCTGGCCCCTTCCTCTTTCCATTGCTTGCTCCACCTCTTCTCCCTAACTGCCAACTATTTGAGGGCCCTAGGGCTCACTTTTGGTCCCCCTTCTCTCTCTGTCCTTGAGAAATCTGATTTGTTCTCATGACTTTCACTCATAAAATATTTTACGGGATCCCAAGACTCCCACATCCAATCATCCACTTGGTATATCTGGTTTGCTGGCTCACAGCCATCTCAGAATGGCCATGTGCTCCTCCCACATCTCTCCCCCTTTTCCACAACCAGTAAATGACACTCTCACTCAGTAAACCACCAACAAGGTCAGAATCTTGAACGTCATCCTTGACTCCTCCTGTTTCCTCACCTCCCTCTACCCCTCATCAGTAAATCCTGTCATTTCCAGCTCCAACATATAATTCCAATCCATGTGCTTTTCTCTGCCTCCACCATCACTCCTTGTCCCACCCTTTGTGACATCCCACCTGGCTCATGTAGCATCTTTACAACTCTCAACCACTTTCTTTTATTTTCTGAAGCAGTTGACAATGGTCCATTTTACTCCCTTTTACATTTAAAGTAAAACCCCAACTCTTACTGTAGCTCACAAGTGTGCTCGCCTGTGTCCCTGCCTACTGTTGCTAACTTGCTCTCTTCTGATGTATGCTCTATGCCAACTGGGAGCACTGCACATACTATTTTGTCTTCTCCAGGGTTTCTCAGCTTCTGCACTACTGGCATTTGGAGCTGGGTGATTCCTTTGGGGGGGGGGCTGTTCTATGCATTACAGAATGTTTGGCAGTGGAGATGCCAAAATAGATGCCAGTAGCATCCACCCACACCAGGTTGTGATAATTTAAAATGTCTCCAGACATTATCGAATGTCCCTTGGGTGGCAAAATCACCTCTGGCTGCTCTACCTGAAATACTCCCTACCACTCATCCCCCAACCCAGGGGCAACATTAAAAAGACTTAACAACTGGTCCAGCATAGGCTTCGACCAATCTGAATATGCGCCAGCTCCAAGCATCCTTATCTTCACCTGTAAAATGAAGATAAGAATAATCCCCACCTCCTAGGGTTGTTGTGAGAGTAAATGAGTTTAGGTGTATAAAGTGCTTATCAAGTCCTGCCACAGGAGGCATGTCCTATCAGCACTTGCTGTTTCCCTCAGCATCCTTATTTTAATTGGCTCATTATTAACCGAGTCCATACATATCAAAGGAGCCCCGTGCATCTCAGTTATTCTGGTTGTTTCTGTAGAACACTCACAAGTTGTAATTAACTTGTAATCACAGCCATCTTTATTTCTTTATTTGCCCATTACTTGACTTCCCTTATAAATTCCACCAAGGCCATGTATCAGGGTATTCTAACTGCTGTAACAAATACTTGGTACACCTCAATGATTTCACTCAGTAGAGGATTATCTTCTTCTTCCCTGTGAGTGTTTGGTGCACAAGCCTTCCAGCCAGATACCCTCCTTCCTCTGCTGGGATTTCCCTGCTAGATCCTCTGCCTCCAGCTGACAGAGAGAGAGAGAGAGAGAGAGAGAGAGAGAGAGAGAGAGAAGCTTTCACATAGGGTTTTCAATGGACCTAGGCTGGGAACACCCAGCATCACTCCTCCCCACATTCCATTGGCTAGTGCTCAGTCACATGGCTACATAGGCACAAGACAGGCTGGAAAATGTAGTGTGGTGAGCATCTAGTCAGTCTCCTTGCAGACAGGCATTGCATCTGTGGGTCCAGCAGTACAACTGGGCACAGGGTTAATAATGAATAAGTACTGTTGAATGAATGAATATGTGTTAACCTATTTAAATCTTTCCTGAGCATTCAAATTGGAAGAGATTAACTCCCCCACCCCACCGCCCGCTAACATCAGTAACTATTATAAACTTTATTATAGATACTGAACACTTGTGGAAAGATAATTTATGATAGCAGAGCGCTACTCTTAGCTCTGCCAGCAAGACCCAGCTAAACCTTGGGAAGCCATTTCTCATTTCAGGGCCTTGGTTTCTTTCTCTGCCCAGGGTGTCTCCTGGGGTGCAGAGGCTCTGTGGGGCTTCCTTCCCTATGTGATCCATAGCACCACTCTGTTTACAGAAGAGACCAGAAACAAATGTTCCTAGGTTGATTTTCTGACCAGTGTAGACTGACACATTCCTCCAGTTCTGGTCTACTCTGAGGGGGATACATTAAATAGGACTCCCAGCCAGGCGGATAGCAGTGAGCCCAATGTTAAAACATAGGCTGTCTCTCCCTTCGCCCTCCAAGGGCTGGCAAAGGCATAATTTCAGTGTGCAGTTACCATCTCAGACTTCTGTCAGCCCTTAATGATGATTGCTCAACAAATATTGTGGTTTGTATTGGAATTACAGGAAGCTCCTTGACAAGCCTTTTGTTGCAGGCCTGAGACTGTTCATGTAGAGTGTAAAGGGTTGCCAAATTTAGAAAAATAAATATACAGACGTGTATTGCATGGGAGGAACACACAGAACAGAATTATTCGTTGTTCACCTGAAATTTTGCTTTCACCAGGTGCTCTGCACTTTACCTGGTAACCTTATTCATGTGGACCTTGGTCTCCAGCACCGGCCATGCTAAGACTGTTCCATCTCCATTTATGATTCGTTTGAACAGAAATCAAACTGACCGGGACCTTCCAAGAGGTGTGAGCTCTCAGAGTAGGTACCTCCATCCTTATCTGGTTTCTTGGACTGACTGGAGTGTTCATTCATTTCCTATCTCCATTTCAGTGGTTTGCTGGACAGGTCACCCCTACTTTCTGTATGTTCTAGCTAGTGGGTCATTTACTTTCCAACCTTGAGTAGAAGGGACTGTCTTGGCCTCTCATTCATCTTGCTTCTTACCTGATTAAAATTACTAAAATTGCTCAGCCAAGTCTCTAATGATTGTATTTTCTTTTCCTTTATTAAAAATTGGGGTCGACCTTAACATCTGTGAACCATGTTCAGATTTAATTAAGATACACTTGGTGTAGTTCATAATCACTTATAAATTTTAATTAAACTGGATATATATTAAGCTGAATTATTTTATAAGAACCATCGAATGCCTTTGATAAGAAATATAAATGTCTGTGCTTAAAGTGCTACAGATTTATATTCTGAAGTCCTGATTTTAAAAGGGAAATCATTTTAGGTCAACTTTAGCCTTGAATAAGCATTTATGAATGAGACTTTGACTTTAATTCATATTAGTCTCCTTCCATTATTGGAAAATATTCATTCACTCAACATTTAGTGCCAGGGGTCTATTTAGTACCAGGAACTATGCAAGTCACCATGTTGGAAACTCCGTTTTTCGGATTCCTGATTGTCTTCCTTTGACCTTGCTTTTTGTCTTCACAGCCTTTGTGGGTTGAGTAGTTAATCTAGTTGGGTATGAGTGGATTACCTTTTTATTACTCACTGATATGTTCAACTCTATTAGTAACCAGAAAAATGTTTGGGTAAAGGGTGTCTAAACTGTCTCACCCAAAGAAGAAAAGATATCCTCTTTTTATTTTATATTTTAAGTGAAGGCTATGTCTGCTTAGGGACGTGAAAGAAGGCTGGCTGTGTGAGGAAGTGAGTGCCATGGACTGCTACACCCCAATTCATAGGTTGAAACTCCAATCCTGAATGTGACTGTCTTTAGAGATAGGGATTTTAGGAGATAATTAAAGTTAAATGAGGTCAAAGGGTCGGGTCCGAATCTGATAGGATTGGTGGAGGAAGAGATCTTTTTCTCTTTCTCTTCCCATGTGCATGCACCAAGGAAAAGCTAAGTGAACACTCCATGAGATGACAACTCCAACCTGGCACCCTGATCTTGAACTTCCAGCCTGCAGAACTGTGAGCAATAACTTTCTGTTGTTTAAGATATCCAGTCTGTGGTTGTTTGTTATGGTGGCTCAAGCAAACTAACATAGGGAGCTGTTGGCACACATAGGATTTCCATGGGTGGTTGGCACTCTGACCTGTGAGCTGTGCAGCTCTGTCTCGGGCATGGTTTTGCCCTTTGCTGTAAGAGACTCCCTGAAGTCAGCCACCCCTTGTTTCTGATAACAGCATGGATTCATTCCATCACCAGGGTTCCTGGAATAGCTCTTGACAATGGAGCAAAGCTAACCAGCTTGTCCTTGAATTGACTCATGACCTTGACCTATTAATATTACATTTTTGACTGATTGAACGCAGAAGCCTAGACACTTGTGATTTACAACTGAAGTCCTCCACGAGCAGATAAATGCAGGCTTTGGTTTATCGGGTCCTACAGCTTGCTTCCCTTCCATCAGGGAGAATTTTTCCATTACAACAGGTAATAATCCTTCCCTTTTTTGTGTCCCATTGAGTCGCATATGCCAACAGATTTCAGAACATGAAAAAAAAACAACCCTCAAGCTGAGTTTAATATTTGATGTGACTTTTGCACTGCTGAGCCATGTCCAGCCCTAAAAGCGTGGTTTCCATCTTTCCCCATGAGTCTCACCTCCTGCACCTCTTTGATGCACTAAAAATGCTCTCTGTGGATCAATGAAGAGTTCCAGCCCCCCAGACATAGAGCCGTGACAGAAAATCAATGTGTGGTGTGGACAGTTGAGGAGAACCTTAAATAATGTCTTAAAAGAATCCACACTCCTTAGTCCCCCTCTGCCAGCAGTGGAGACAGCTAGGGGGGGTCATACCTGCTAATGGGCACATTCTTTTTTAGTGTCTGGAGGCTTAGCAAAACCAGCAGATGAAAACTACAGTCAACATCATAATTAGAAAACATTTAGATTCACAGATGATTCTAACACTTTTTCCCTTACAGTGCCTATGGTGAGTCTATTTAAAAAATACTAAACTCAGCACTTTGCTTAAATCACACTGAGATCTAACATGTGCATTTTATTTTCTCCCTAAAAGCAGCACTTAGCGACGTTTACTTGCTGGCATCATCTGGTACCAAGAACAGTGAGAGGATGCTAGTGGACCGAGCTACGGGACCTATCCTCCAGCATCAGGTGAGGAGAGAGGCAAGTGCCCCCACTTATTAGCTTCTTGTTGCAGCAGAAACCACTGCAACACTGCCGTCTGTACGAGGATCTATGGAGGGGCAGCAAACTACTCCAAGATACCTGTGACAACCATGGTGCGGATTTTTACCAGATGCCACTGGTTTGGGATTCCTCTCCATGGAGGGCTCCCTGAGTAACACACTCTGAGGCTTTCCGGGAGCAAAATTGATGCTAAGAAAGCTTTTTAGGTCCCTGGAAGTAGATAAAGATAGGCAGGTGTTGGGAGTATACTTTCCACAGTAGTTTTCACAGCTGTGTTTGGTAAAACAACCATCAATGCGAGACCCATGAGAAACTAATGCATCATGGGAGCCCTGTGACTAGGAGAACTGCCCTGCTGGATGGGCTGACATGCAGCTGTTGAGGAGAGAGGCAAGTGCCCCCACTTATTAGCTGCCTGTGGTTTGCAGTCGTGTGCCACCTGATTTCATTCATGGGCATTCTGTGGTGAGAACTAGAAAAAGCTTGAAATATCTATATGTATAAAAGCCAAGTGACCAGAATGCCGGAATGACCAGTTGCTATGATGCGAACTGCCCAAGGCTCCTCCCCCCAGCTGGTCCTGCCCCCGATCCCCACCTCCCCGATCAGCAGCAGGGCCAGTCAGCCAACCTCCCATGTCCCCTCCCCACCGCCGCTGGCCCGCCTGATCAAGCCCCATGGGGAGAGGGTGGCCAGACCCCACCTGTGCACGAATTCATGCACCAGGCCTCTAGTATATATATAATTTCACTTGAAGCATTCATGAGTCGTCACTCAAAATCGGGCAAACATTCTAGTTTGCTGTCCTAGTTCTCCCAAGTGCCCATCCAAACAATATTTCCACTTGGGGAATCACCACTTCTCCTTTGAGCACTGCCCTCTTCTCCTCTGGGCCCCCGGCATGTGGCTTACACTCTCCCCCAGGAGGGCTCCTTCCATGTGGCAAACATCTTAGCATAACTGTGGAGGACCATCACAGGGGCATTATGGGAACTTCTTGGTGAAAGGTACTTGGTAAAAACGAATGCTACATAAACAGAAGACCATTGTTACTAGATTAGCTTCTCTTCACAGGACTAATTATTTCATAGTCTTCCAGAATGAACTGCATTTGCCATCTGCCAGCCCAATTACCTCAATGATCCAAATTCTTTTAAATCTGGTCACAGCTCCTCATTCTTTCTTAAACTCCAGGTTTAGTGCTGCTGGCCGATTTCAGAGCCCCTATGTTCCGATCCTTGTGAGAGCCACTTAACTTCACGATGCGTGACAGCACTCCTCAAAGTAGGCCAGCGACCCTCTTGACGTCCGAAGGCAGTGGCAGTCTCGCTTCAATTTCTAATGTCGTGTTTGCCTCGTTTTTATCATCTACTGTTTTGTTCTGTTTCACCTCTCTCTTAAAACTTTAAATGGAATTGTTTTGGAAAACGAAAGAAAGCAGCCCCATGCCTGTTTTCTTCATACTTATTACCTTGGTTGATGGTGGATAATTTTGGCTTTTTGGTCTTATCAGCTAAAAGTTAAATTCCAGAAAGTTAGGTGAGGATGACCTCTTGGAACCCTTTTGGCTTGTTTGCCTGCAGGCAGCTGGTGGTTGGCCTTGCCTGGTACAGGTGGGGCATCTGGGCGCTTCCCTCCCTGGCTCTCCTTACTCAGCAGCCTACCCTGGGCACAGCTCTCTCGCCGCAGATGCCAGGTTTGTGTTGTTAAATCATGGTGTTTTTATCTCCTCATGTTTCATCATTCAAAGCATAACATGTTTTCAAAACACTGCTCTGCAATTAAGATACATTACCACCAGGAGGCCCTGAATTCATCCACCGACCTTCATACCATATAAATCATCACTCAGTGAGTAGGACAAGAAATCAGCAGGTCATCATATTATAGAAGCTGATCTTATTTTTTTTTAAGTTGGAATTTAATGTTAAGCAGCAGAATGTATAATTACTTTGTAGCCGCTTTGTAAAGTAAATAGAAGTTGAAGATGTCATTTTGGTGCCTTTGTCCTTCTTACCAATGTGTTGCATAGAGATTGTGATTAAAATGCTCTTTTGTGATTCACCTGAATATCTTATAGTGAAAACCCAATGAGAGCTCATAGCAGCCCTGCATTTCAGACTGCTGATGGTCCAGGCTGCGAGGCTGGTGTCGAGGTTGTTCAGGACACATTTCCTCATCTACATCAACAGGTTTGGGTTTCCCAAGGAACAAAACCCAGAAGAAAAAGCAAAAGCAAAAGCAATATGTTGTGCACGTTGCCTGTTCCTATATAAGGTTCCTGGAGAATATCTATTTACAAGTGTTCTGAGATCGTCTCTTTCAGAAGAGCCCCCGGCTCGTTCCAGCTCTAGTGTCCCCTTAGCTAGTTCTCTTCTTTGACAAGAACTAAGTGGAGCCTGATTTGCTTCTTTACTTCTCCCATAAGCTTACTACAGAGATGGAGGGCCGTGAGAAAGATGAGTTTTAAGTTCTTCAAAGATTATTATATCTCTTACATAGTGCAGGTTTTTTTTGAACAAATTAAAGTATGGTTTCGAAAAAGAGATTGAAACTGGCTTTTATTACAATCACTGAAAAAAGTCAGTATCACCAACCAACTCTCCTGAACTTCCCACTCTGAGCTGATGGCAGGAAGCTGGGGTTCCAGGAGAGTTTCAGCGTCAAGAGCGGGTTTGCCAGAATGATGTGAAGGATGAGGCTCAGCTGCCAGGGGCAGTGGGGTCATGGAAGGGCACTGGGACAGAGGCCAGGGAGTACAGCCAGAGAACATCCAGGGGGCCTCTGGGGCTGGTTGGATGTGAGCTGTTGTCTGACTCAGTTTCCCTTTATATAGACCTTCCATTCTTACAGACACAGCTCTACCTGGTTCACTACCTGGGCCACCGTGGTCTCAGGTGAAACGCTCTGATCCAATAAAAGCTTATTTACAAAACTGGGCAGTGGGCCGGATTTGACATGTGGGCCGCAGTTTGTCGATCCCCAGTGTGCCACGCCAGCACGACCAAGGGTGATCCCGAGTCGGGAGGTGAAAGGATTAAGGAAAGACAGACAAGAGAATAATAGCTGGGTCTCGGTGGGACGCTGCTCCCTGATGAGGAGAC